TAAAATTTAGGTCCTAAACCCTAAACCTAGTGCCTAAACCCTAAACTATAAGCCTAATGGCCTAAACCCTAAACCTTAGGACCTAGACCCTAAAGCCTAAAATATAAACTCTAAACCTTAGACTCTAACCACTAAACCATAGACCATAAGCCTTAAACCCTAAACCGTAAAGCATAAAATCTAAACCTTAGGTCCTAAATCTCAAATCCTAAACCTTACAACATCAACCCTAAACCCTAAACCTTACAACATCAACCCTAAACCCTAAACCCTAATTTCTAAACCCTAAACGTTAGGGCCTAAACCCTAAACGCTACTCAAACTTCGCCACATCCAACACCAATCAAACACTCACAAGCAATCGACGATTTCCCTTAAGAAAGTCGTCAATCTATCCATCATAGGGCATCATCAATCCATATCTCAAATATTTAAACAAAAACAAAGAAGCCACAAACTTCAAATCAAAAACTAAGATAGACCACCCTAAACCTTAGGGCCTAAACCCTAAACTCGAAACCCTATACCCTAAACTCTAAAACTTAGGTCATAAACCCTAAACCTAGTGCCTAAACCCTAAACTATAAGCCTAATGGCCTAAACCCTAAACCTTAAACCTTAGGACCTAGACCCTAAAGCATAAAATATAAACTCTAAACTCTAAACCTTAGACCCTAACCACTAAACCATAACCATAAGCCATAAGCCCTAAACCCTAAAGCATAAAATCTAAACCTTAGGTCCTAAATCCTAAAACCTAAACCATAAAACACGAAACCCTAACCCATAAACCATAAACCATAAACCATAAACCATAAACAATAAATTGTAAAACTTAGGGCTTAAGCCCTTTTACCTTAGAGCCTAAACTCTAAACCATAAACCATAAATCCTCAACCCTAAACCTTATGGCCTAAACCATAAATCCTAAACCCTAAACAATAAACTCTAAACCTTAAAGTTTAGGGTCTAAACTCTAAACCTTAAAGTTTAGGGTCTAAACCCTAAACCGTACACCCTAGGGACTAAACCCTAAATCCTAAACCCTAAACTCTCAACCCTAAACCTTATGGTCTAAAATTAAAACCATAAATTCTAAGTCCTAAACCTAAATCACTAAATCATAGTGCCTAATCCCTAACTTTAGGGCCTCAAATCTAAACCCTAAACTTGAAACCTAATTAGGGCCTAAACCCTAAACCTAATTAGGGTTTTAACCTTAAACCCTAAACTCTAAACCTTAGAGCCTAAATCTTTAAGCATAAACCATAAATCCTAACTCCTAAACCCTAAATCCTAAACCTCAGGGTTTAAACCCTAAACTTTTGGGACTAAACCCTAAACCATAAATCATAAACCCACTAAGAGGGCCTAAATCCTAAATCCTAAGCCATAAACCCTATACTCTAGAGTCTAGACCCTAAATATTAGGGCCTATATCCTAAACCCTTAACCCTATATCATAAACCCTAAACCCTATGGCATAAACCCTAAATACTAATTCATAAACCTTAAACATTAAACTTTATGTCTTAAACCCTAAACCCTAAACCTTACGGCCTAAACCCTAAACCCTAAATCCTAAGACTTAAACTCATGGTCTGAGTTGCTGCCTGAAAATGACCCCTTGAATCAGCTTCTTTATACAAAGGATTCACTTTTTCTTGTTGAACTAGAGCATTAACCTGACCCTGCATGAGTTCACCTTACCCTCATCATCACTGTGAACCAATTCAGACCCCTCCATAGACTCATAATATAAGAATCTTCAGCATCAGGATCTATATCTTCAATCAAAATTGGACTCAGATTTTGAGTGTCATTCTGAGTAGTCATGTTGATCTTGTTGTTGATGCTACCCTGTATCATAGGAGCTTGATGAGCTGTGGTAGTAGGAGCTCTAAGTTCAATCCTAGAGTCATCCATATTAGAACTACCACCCCTTTTTGGTTCCTCTTTCTGAAAGTTAGTGATTTTCTCCTGCATACCCCCTTTCACACCTCCAGACTTCTCAGATCCAGATAAAAGAACACAATTATTAGTGGGGTGGGGTTGATGGAGAATTGAGTTAATACCTTGCTTATTGTTGGCATCCTTGCTTTGCTTGTTATGAAATACTTTAGGGGCAACACTGGGAATGGGGACAGCAACACTACCCTGGGGTTGAGGGGTGGGGAGCATTGAGTCAATACCTTGCTTATTGTTGGCATGATTTGATTGTCCTGATAAACATTAGGGGCAACACTGGGGTGGGACTGCAACACTACTATCGGGTTGAGGGGTGGGGAGCATTGAGTCAATACCTTTCTGTTGTTCTTGACTGGTTGATTGTCCTGATAAACATTAGGGGCAACACTGGGGTGGGGACTGCAACACTACTATCGGGTTGAGGGGTGGGGAGCATTGAGTCAATACCTTGCTTATTGTTGGCATGATTTGATTGTCCTGATAAACATTAGGGGCAACACTGGGGTGGGGACTGCAACACTACTATCGGGTTGAGGGGTGGGGAGCATTGAGTCAATACCTTGCTTATTGTTGGCATGATTTGATTGTCCTGATAAACATTAGGGGCAACACTGGGGTGGGGACTGCAACACTACTATCGGGTTGAGGGGTGGGGAGCATTGAGTCAATACCTTGCTTATTGTTGGCATGATTTGATTGTCCTGATAAACATTAGGGGCAACACTGGGGTGGGGACTGCAACACTACTATCGGGTTGAGGGGTGGGGAGCATTGAGTCAATACCTTGCTTATTGTTGGCATGATTTGATTGTCCTGATAAACATTAGGGGCAACACTGGGGTGGGGACTGCAACACTACTATCGGGTTGAGGGGTGGGGAGCATTGAGTCAATACCTTT